GGGGGGTGGGGGGTGGGGTGGGTGTTGATAACTGCAAGCTGGGGCAAAAACAGGATTCCTGTTGAATAGCTAAGTGTACATAAAAGATGCCTCCACCTCCATGTCCTGCTCCACCCAAAATTTAACCAGGGAATATAAATGACAGTGAATTTGGCATAATAAAAAAAAAAAAAATCAACTACAGTGAGATGTTCTGGTCATGGTGTGTGAAAGATGAGTAGGATAGACACTATCAAAGAGATCACATTACCACCCCAAATTAGAGCTAGAAGACCCAGGTACAGCCCACACTTTGAGGTACGGGAAGCCCAAGGATTTCAAAGAAATGTAGAGGTCCAGCCTCAATGAGAAGCTAAGCTGTGTGTTGCTCCATGAGGATGTACTGTTTGAGACCTGGCTGGACTCCCAGTGGTCCAACCGAACATGAGAATCTCAGATGTTGTGTGGGTGGGGCTGGAAGGTCTCAAAGGTCTTCAGCTCTGCACAGGGCCAGTAGGGCTGAGCGACAGTCCCCTCTCACTGTATCCTGCAGGTAAGGGAGTCGATGTTAGAAAGACCCGTCCACTATATGGTCCAAGCATTCTAGCCCCACTCCTGCTGGTCCATTGCTCATCAGGAAGGGAAGAATCTGTTATACCGAGTCCTTCCTGCATTCAACCAAAGGCTCATGGGGTCTCAATGGCAGGGACAGTGTGGGGAGGGGAGTGCTAGGACACCAGGGTTCCAGGCTAAGAACTAGCCCAGTTTCACCTGGAGAGAAGAGTAGAGAGACTTCCCAAATTTCTTCTTGAACTCAGCTCGAATGCTTAGAAGGTCAGTCTCACTTCGGGAGATCAGGATGCGTGTCAGGACATGGTAATTGGGCTCAGTTTCCTGGTAAAGAAACAGATTAGGGAGTGTATAAGGGGATGGTTAAGGGTAATAATCTCACTAAGAGCAGGGGTTGAATGGCATGGATGGTTGTAGGAAGTAGAGGCAAGGTGGAGTTAAGGGGAAAGAGAAATATACATTATCAGGGCCAAAATCATCTTTGTTTTTCCTCATGGAAGATGATACAGCAGGAAATATCACTTAGAGCAGATAGCTTGAATAATTTTTCTCTCTGTCCTTTTTCTGTGGTACTGGGAGATCAAACCCAGGGCTTTGGACATGCTAGGCAAGTGCTCTTACCACTGAGCTTCATTCTCAAGCCTTTTTTCATATATAAAAACTTCTTTTTTTTTTTTTTTTTTTTTTTTTTTTGTCTTTTTGAGGCAGGGTCTTCCTGTAGCCCCAGTTGGCCTGGAACTCAATGTGTAGACCAGGCTGGCCTTGAACTCACAGAGATCCACCTGCCTCTGCCTCCCGAGTGCTGGGACTAAAGGTGTGTGACACCACGCCCGGCCTATAAAAACTTTTAAAAGATTTATTTTTTACTTATAGGGGCAGTGGGGGGAGAATATGTCACATATATTCAGGTGCCTGGGGAGATCTGAAGAGGGATCGGATCCACTGGAGCAGGATTTGTAGGCAGTTGTAAGCCATCTGACATGAGTGCTGGGAAGTGAACTTGGGTCCTCTGGAAGAGCAAGAAGCACTCAACCACTGAACCATCTCTCCAGCCCCATGCTTTTGTTTCTTGAGACAATGTCTCAGGTACCCTAGAGTAGCCTCAAACTTACAACACAGATGAGGTTGACCTTGAACTTATGATCCTCCTACTTCTACCTTTCCAGTGCTGGTTTTACAGATGTGTGTGTGTCACCATGCCTGGCTAGCATTTTTTTTTTTTTTTTTTGGTTTTTTTCGGTCTCCCTGTAGGCCCAGCTGGCCTGGATTCACTAGGGGAGACTGGGCTGGCCTCAAACTCAGAGACCTGCCTGCCTCTGCCTCCCAAGTGCTGGGATTAAAGGTGTGTGCCACCACAACTGCCTTCTCTGGCTAGCCTTTTTAAAAATATTATTTTGAGACAGTCTCGGTAAATTGCCCGTACTGGTCTCAAACTTTGATGCTCCTGCCTAAGACTCTCAAGAAGATGGTATTACATGTATGAACCACCACATCTAGTTCTCTTATTCCAATTCTTTTGTTTTTTGAGACAAAGTCTCCCTGTAGCACAAGCTGGCCTGGAACTGCCTATGTAGACCAGGCTAGCCTCAATCTCACAGAGATTCTTGTTGCTCCAAAATTGTAGAACTGTAGAGTCACTCACTAAGTAGTCTCATTAGTGAACTCTTTATACCAAAGCTGTATCAAACATAATTTGAGTCTCAACACTTGGCTGTTCTTGGCATCTTACAGTGCTAAGGTCTTCATGATAAACACTGATTTTAGAGTTCAGATTGGGTCAAATGTATCCAAATCGGCCTTTGCTGAAGGTCATTTTCCTAAATTAATATTCCTGACAATCTGCTTCTATTTATTGCTCACAAGAGTAATAGGATCGTCTTGAAACTTTTTCCTTAAAGAAATTCAAAAAAATGGGCCTACTTTATTTTATGACTCCATCTTATTTTTGCTGGGGGCAGAGTCTCATGTAGCTCAGGCTGGCCAGAGACTTTTTTCTGAAGCCAAAGATGACCTTGCCTTGAATTCTTGATCCTCCTGCCTTCACCTCCCAAGTACTGGGATCTCAGGTATACACCATCCCAACCAGCTTTCTGACCCTTACTTCTAAGATAAATTTGACATTTATACCCAATAGTGTGAGTCTTACATATACTAAAAATTCATTTACTACTAGGATTCAAGTTTGATTGCTTTCGTGTGTGTACCTAAGTGCTCTACTACTGAGCTACACTCTGTTTTTTTTTTTTTTTTTTTTTTTTTTTTTTTTTGGTCTTTTTGAAGCAGGGTCTCCCTGTAGCCCCAGCTGTCCTGGAACTCACTATGTAGACCAGGCTGGCCTTGAACTCACAGAGATCCACCTGCCTCTGCCTCCCAAGTGCTGGGACTACAGGCATGTGCCACCACACCCAGCACAAATTGGTTTTTATGATAGGAGCTCAGACGGATAACCATAGCTCTTCAAATGAATTTTGGTGTTGACTCATTATAATGATCCAGGCTTTCTCAGTTAAGTATAATAATCAACTCTCAAGATGGAAATCTCTGGATGATAGAGCAAGGATTTCCATAGTTTTTTACATAGTTTTTTGTTTTGGGTTTTTTTTTGTTTGTTTGTTTTTTTGGTCTTTTTGAGACAGGGTCTTCCTGTAGCCCCGGCTGTCCTGGAGCTCACTATGTAGACCAGGCTGGCCTTGAACTCACAGAGAGCCGCCTGCCTCTGCTCTCAAGTGCTGGGATTAAAGGCTTGTGCCACCACACCTGGCTATTCTGTCATTTGTATAGTGTCACCAATGGGAATATACAGAAGGCTACACCAGTCAGGCATGGTAACACACGCAGGCGTACCTAGATCCCAGCAGTTGGGAGGCAGAGACAGACAGCAGGTAGATCTCTGTGAGTTCCGGCCTACACACTGAGACCATATATATTTAAAAAAAAGAAAAATAAAGAAAAATAAAGTCTTACGGGTTAGAGAAATAGCTCTTGCAGACAACCTGAGCTCCATTGTAACTCCAGCGCCAGGGGGATCTCTGACCTCTACAGGCACAGTCACATATCACAGACCCACACATAATTTAACATAAATCTTTTTTTAAAAAAAGTCTACTCCAGCCTGGTGCAGTGGTGCATGCCTTTAATCCCAGGACTTGGGAGGCAGAGGTAGGTGGATCTCTGAGAGTTCGAGTAGTCTACATAGTGAGTTCCAGGCCACTCCCTGGGGCTACAGGGAGACCCTGTCCCAAAAAGACCAAAAAAAAAAAAAAATGTGTGTGTGTGCATGTGTGTGTGGTGTGCACTCTGTGTGTGTGTGTGTGTGTGTGTGTGTGTTAGGGACAGTTCTCAGGGGAGACCTAGTTCATAAAGCAGAATTACTAGAGTCTGTTGGTGGAATTACTCAAACCGAAATCATTAGTTTGAGGACAGGTAATACGCCAGGTACTTTTTTATTTTTATTTTTTGTCTTTTTGAGATAGGGTCTTCTTATGTAGCCCCAGCTGGCTTGGAACTCGTGATATAGATCAGACTGGCCTCAAACTCACAGAAATCCACCTGCCACTGCCTCCCAAGTGCTGGGATTAAAGGCATGTGCCACCATGCCTAGCTTATGCCAGGCACTTTTAAAGAAGTGGTTTAGGGGTTGGAGAGATGGTTCAGCAGTTAAGAGCACTGACTGCTCTTGCAGAGACTGGGGTTCGATTCCCAGCACCCACATGGCAGCTATGACCCGTCCTTAACGCCAGTACCAGGGGAATCCAAAGCCCTCTTCTGAAGCCTTCTGCATTGCACAACACGGGTGCACTTACATACATGCAAGCTAAAATATATTTTTTTTAATAAGTGGAAGCCGGGCGTGGTGGCACACGCCTTTAATCCCAGCACTTGGGAGGTAGAGACAGGTGGATCTCTGTGAGTTCATGGCCAGCCTGGTCTACTAGTGAGTTCCAGGCCAGCTGGGGCTACAAAAAGACCCTGTCTCAAAAAGACAAAAAAAAAAAAAGAAAAAAGAAGTGGTTTAGAGATGAATTCAGGGTCTTGTGCATATTAGGCAAATGCTCTACCACTGAACTTTATCACCAGTCTGAGGATGAATGATATGGAACAAAATCTTGCCAAGGAAGAGAAAAGAGGCTCTGGGCACTAAAAGCACTTATGGTTCAGCTGAGGAGAAACTGATAGGGCACCAAGTGTTCTAGATCATCTGTATCAGTGCTTTGTAGGGAGATTGTGACTTGCTAGTGTTATGGCTTTGGGCAAGGTGCTTAATTTCTTTGTTCTTCAGTCTTCTAATAAAACAAGGCTGTGAGGATTCATTGAAATATGAGTAACATACTGAGGACAGCACCAAAGACAGGAGCTTCCTGTGTAGTCCTAGCTGGCCCCTGGCACACCAGACTGGCCTCAAACTTGCCTCGTCCTCCAGAGTGCCGAGTGCCGAGATTACAAGCAAACTCCACAAAACCCAGCTATGATTATTCTTTCTAGTGTTATCACCTTTGCCTCTGACCACAGCTGATACCGGAAAGGGCAAACTCCTATCTGTATTTGATACACAGACATTAAGGCCCAAACTTTAACTTTAGTGCCCTTGTAGGTCAACTAAGTTCTAACCACAGCTCACTCCTCTACCCAGTCAAGACAGTTTGTAAACACAAAGGAAGAGAGCTGCTTGTAGGTTTCCAGCAGCTCTGAGCATATTCCAGGCAGTGGCCTGGATGTCTCGCCAAGGCTTGGTTCTGAAGGGCAGGGGCGGGAAGGAATGTACCTCTCACCTGGAGGGCTTGGTGAAGTTTGGCAGCAAAGTACAGTGGTGTGTTCCTTATCACCGAGGCTGGAAGCAAAGGTGGAAGAATGGAGGGCCATGACTAGGGCCACGGCTTCCCATCCCAGGAGAGACCCCTCCATGCATCCCATGCGGGTCTCTTACCTAGGCTGAGCAGGGCCACTTGGCTGTCTCCGCGGAAACGGTTCTGTATAGCATCTTCCAATTCTTGCCCAGTGCATCGCCGATACCGATCAAACACTTTTGGGATGTGTTTGGGGGGAGTTAGAAAGATAAATTGATTCATGGGGTTGGGGTTACTTGTCACAGAGAATCATGACCCTCCCTACCATTCTCTGCCACACTCATTGATAGAGTAAGCTGGAGGGATAAGAAGGCTTGGGTACCTCGAATGAGATGTTCAGGACTGCGCTGTGTGAATGTCAGGATCCATGGCCCCTCTGAGTTAGGTTCTACTGCCTGCTGGAGTGCCTGGGAGGAAGGAAGGAACCAGTGAAGGATTAGTCAGGATCATTGGTTAGACCCTGTAATCCCTATGATGTTCCCAAAATCTATCATGATGGTGGAAATGGGACTGAGGGTGAGTTTACCTTTTTTTTTTTTTTTTTGGTCTTTGTGAGTTCGAGGCCAGCCTGGTCTACATAGCGAGTTCTAGGCCAGCTGGGGCTACAGGGAGACCCTGTCTCAAAAATAAAAGACAGTGCTAAGAGGAGCTCCTGCCCCCACATCTAAATCCCCTATTTGGGAATGTACTGGTTCCCCCTACCCCCAGAGAATTAATCCCCTAGCCTTCTTGATTCAAGTGTCCACAGAGGAGAAACTGCCAGCTTGCTTCCTGTGAACTCAAGAGACTGAGGAAAGAAGGCAGGAAAAGGACTGGGCTGTCATATTGAGGCAGAAACAGGTTTGCAGCATAGATAGAAACACAGACGGGCGTGGTGGTGCACGCCTTTGATCCCAGCCCTTGGGAGGCAGAGGCAGGTGGATCTTTGTGAGTTTGAGGCCAGCCTGGTCTACATAGTGAGTTCCAGGACAGCTGGGGCTACAAGGAGACCCTGTCTCAAAAAAGCCAAACCAAAACAAACAAACAAAAGAAACACACGATCCATACCATAAGACACACAGACATATATAGTGGTGGAGGGAGTCTGGGGCACAAGGCCAGGCAAACTCTTAAACCACTTTGCTCACCTGGACATCCTGTTCTTCCAAATTGTAGTCAATGATTCCAGAGTAGGTGTCTCGACCCCCCTGTGTAGAGACATTATTCTCAGCAGAGAACTCCACTCAGTGGAGTTTTGGCTCTAGGCTGATTCTCTGAAGCCCTCACTTGTCCATCACAGGGCAGCAGTGCTCACTGCCCTGGCCCATCCTGAGGAGCGGAACTCCTTCCTTCCCAAGCCAGTCCTCACCTTGCCCAGTGCCAGAAGCAGGTCCTGCAAGATGCCATTGGTCTCAGCCTTAATGTCTTCCTCAGCCTCTACCTGGAAATCTGAGGCAGGGTCAAGAGCTCTCTGAAGCCTCTTGATTTTTTCCCAGGGTAGGTGGCTCCAGGACCTGTCATATGCCTGACCCACTGTGCCCTGCCAGCCCTCCTAGGAAGAGGAACTTGAAAGCTGCTTGTTCCCAGGATGTAAGAAATGAGGACCATGGTGGCCACTCTGAAAATATCCCTAAGCTGTGGGATGTGGGGTGGCTTCCTTCCAAACACCTACCTGCTGGGAATTCTATTAGAGTGGTAGCCAGGCAGTGAAGGGGAACAGGGAAACCTAGGTTGTGAAGCAACTTGTCTAGGGCCTGGCCTTCTAACCAGTATCCAAGAAGTGATGTGTGAGATGGGATATAACCCAGAGAATGAACAGGAGGAAACAACAGAAATGAAGAAAACACTGGCTAAGGCTGTAGCTCAATAGTACACAACTTGTCTGGCATGCTGAAGCCCTGGGTTCAATCCCCAGTACAGAGAGAAAGAAGAAGGCAGGAAGGCAGGAAGGCAAGAAACCAGAAATAGTGGTGCATACCTGTAATCCCAGCACTTAGGGGGCTAAGGCAGGAGGATCAGGAGTTCAAGCTACATGAAACTACTCTGTCTCCAAAAAGTTTAAAAAAGAAAAAAAGAAAATCAGAAGCAAGAGGGAATCAAGAAGGTAGAAGAGAGTTAAGAATATAGACCATGGAGCTGGAGAGATGGCTCAGCAATTAAGAGCACTGACTGTTCTTACAGAGGACCAGGGTTTGAGTCCCAGCAACCACATTGTGGCTAACAACCATCCATAACTCCAGTACCAGGGGATCTGATGCCTTCTTCTGACTGACCTCCTCAGGTATTGCACAACACAAGTGCATTTACACACATGCAGGCAATACACTCATACATATAAAATAAAAATAATAAATAAAATTTAAAGAAAAAAAAGAATATAGACTAGGGTTAATATCAAAAGAAAAAAGGAAGAAAAGGGAGATACTCTGGCTGTGAGACAAGGATGGGAATAGCTGGTCGCAAATTAGTGGGTGAGGCATGTGGCAACCAAGCAGGGCCAACAGGGCCTGATAAGTGACACATATGACTTAAGAGAGGGTTTCCACCTGTTCCCCAGGCAGCAGCAAGGCCTTTAGTTTGAGAATGTGATGTGATGGTAGAGATGGTAAAGGGGCTGGGGAGGTGACATGGGTACCTTTGGGACTGTGACAGTGCCTAATATTGTCATTACTGTGAAATTTGCCCTGGGGCCCCAGACTAAGATGGTTAATCATTGCTTCTTTCTTAATGATCATATGTGGCTCTCTCTCCCGTGGGGAGACTGAGGCACTGGTAGTATGCGTATGGGGGTACTGAAAGGGAGTAACTTGGCGAGTCAGGGTCTCAGGTGGCTCATCTGCGGGAGAGGAATGCATCATTCCCAGTTCCCCTCCAGCTCTTGGGACCTCCGCTCACATTCTTACCATGTTTATACACTGCCAGACACTCCTGCAGCAGAGGTGGGGCTCGAGTGGCAAGGATTTCCAACGCCACATCCTCAGCAGAATCTGAGGCCTACAAGAAATCGAAAGACCACTCTAACACTGGGCCATGTCATTAGCTCAGCAAGATGGCAGACAGAGGGGTGGAGAGTAGGCACTGGCAACTTCTCCATGGAAGGGTCATCACAGGGTGGCTGGCTGGAGGGGCCTCTTCCAAGGCAACCCCCTGGAGTGGACAAGGAAAGTCAGTTGCCCCTCCCCTTCTTTCAGTGGTATCAATCCCCAGATAACCCAACGATTGCCTTCTCCTGGTACCTTCAAGGCTGTCCTCAATTCCTGGGCATCAAATTGGGCTGTTGGCTGCAGCAGAGCCACCACAATCTTCTCCAGGTGACCGGAGAGTGCTGCCTGTAAGGACTTCAACAGGTCCTGCAAAATCGTCCGCATGACAGACAGAGGCACAGTTCATCACAGGAGGGTCCCAGAAACATGGGGAGGTTTGGGAAGATTTGGCTGGTTTTCATCTCAAGTCTGATTAGCCAGGAGGGAGGGTTTGGCCTTGCTGCACCTCAAGTTCTTGAGAGGGTCTCCACCCTGCTCCATAGCTCCTGGGAAGTCAGAATAGAATGGTCTTACCTGTTTGGTGCGCTCCTGGAAGGCTCGAGAAATAAGCTGTCTTTGTTCTCTGCTCCGATTGGTCAGTATATCCACAATGGCGCTGTGGTCTACTCCTGAATCAAGACAAGACTTGGCTGTTACCAGGCTGTTTACAAGGTTATGATCCCCTTGCTCTTCAGGGAAGGGCAGAGAAGAGCAAGGTCTATTTCATCCCCACTTCCAATTGCTCTCAAAAGACTATGCAAATAAAATGTCAAAAATTGCATGGAAAGCTGGGTGTGGTCATCCACACCTATAATCCCAGCACTTGGTAGACAGAGGCAGGAAGATCGGGAGCTCAAGGTCATTCTCAGGTAGTAAGTTTGATGCTAGCCTAGGCTACATGAGACTGTCTAAAAAAAAGAAAGAATTTGACCCCAATCCTAATTCAGGCAAAAGTGATCTGGTATGAAAAAAAAAAAAAAAAAGGAAAAGAAAAATAGAAAGAAAGAAAAGAAAGTAAAAGAAAATATAAAAATAAGTGACTTTTTGAGTGGCTTAGAATCCCGGATCTGCCATTATGAACTATGTGACCTTGGGCAAGCCTCTTAACCTCTCTGAACTCCAATTTCCTCATCTGCAAAATAGAAATAATAAGCCCAACCTTACAAGGGAATTGTGAGATTGGGTATGACACATTACCACGGAACTTGACACACAGGAATTAAGGCATTTCACAAACATTTCTTGAGCACTGTTCATTCACTCCACCTTTATAGCTCCTTCAAAAAAAATTTTTTTTACATTTATTTATTTTGTGTGTCTGTGTGGGATGGAGGGTGCGTGCCTGCTATAGCACACATGTGGAGGTCTGTGGAGGTCTGTAGAGGTCTGAGGACCACTTGAAAGAGTTGGTTTTCTCCTTCCACCAGGTAGGGACTGAGGGTGGAACTCAGGTTGCTAGACTTGGCTGCTCCCTCTCCCCCTCTCTGGTACCCTGCTGACCTGTAGATTCTTTATAGAAAGGTAGACTTGCAGTGCAGCATGGTGGTTCCTGCCTGTCATCCCAGCACTTGGAAGACTGAGGCAGGGTCTGAAGCTACCCCTGTCAGGTAAATATGGGGCTGGAGAGATGGCTCAGCAGTTAAGAACACTGGTTGTTCTTGCAGAAGACCCGGGTTCGAATCCCAGCACCCACATGGCAGCTAACAACTGTCCATAACTCCAGTCCTAGGGGATCCAACAGCCTCTTCTGACCTCCTTGGGCATTGCATGACATAGGTGCAGTTACCTACATGCAGGCAATACATGCATACACATAATAAATAAAATTTTTTTAAAAATCAGATAAACAGCTGGGTGCGGTGGCACACACCTTTAGTCCTAGCACTTGGGAGGCAGAGGCAGGAGGATCTGAGTTCAAGGACAGCCTGATCTACATAGCGAGTTCCAGGCCAGCTGGGGCTACAGGGAGACCCTATCTCAAAAAAGACAAAAAACAAAACAAAACAAAACAAAACAAACAAAAACAGGTAAACAGGTGCTGGAGAGATGGCTCAGCCATTAAAAGCACTGGCTGCTCTAACAGAGGACCTGGGTTTGGTTCATAGTACCCATATGGCAGCTAACAACCATCTGTAACTCTAGTTCCAGGAGATCTGACTCTCTCTTTGAACCTCTACAGGCATTGCATGACTTGGGTGCACTTACATGCAGGCAATATACTCATGCACATAAAATAAAAATACTAAATAAAATATTTTTTAAAAGTCTGGAGAATAGGGGCTGAAGAGCTGGCTCAGCAGTTAAGAACAGAGAACCTGGGTTCAGTTCCCAGAGCCCACATGGAAGCTAACACTGGTCCTTAACTCCAATTCCAGGGGATCTGACATCCTTTTCTGGCTGGGAAGCTAACACTGGTCCTTAACTCCAATTCAAAGGGACTTGACATCCTCTTCTGGCTGGCATTCGGCATGAATGTGGTACACTTACATGAGGCAAAATACTCATTCACTTAAGAAAAATCCTAAAAGAAAAGCAAGAGAGCAGCAGTTAAAGGAGGACCACAAGTGTTGAGGATGGGGTCTTACCCTGGCCTGTAATGGCCCGCAGCAGCCTCTGTACATCCTTGTCCACACTGAAGCTCAAGAAGGTCCTGAGAGTGCCCAGGGTCCCCCATGCTGCAGTCTGTAAGAGCATGGTGTTATGATGAAGGGGCACATTCTCTATTTTCTATTTCCCATCATCTCCCTGGCACCTGAGTTGACATATTCAAAGCCAGGGTTATGGTTTCATCAGTAGTAGTACATTAGCCTGGCAAAGGCAAGGCTCTGGACTCATCACCAGCTCTATTAAGTAAGCAAATAAATCCTTTAGGATTTTATGTTTCAATAGCCCATACCTTGTTGGCAAGGCCCAGGTGGCTGAGGATCTCCTGGGTCAGGGACAGTTCCATCTTACCACTGCTCACAGACATGGCTCAACTGGCTGCCCTAGGGAAGAAAACAGGAGCCAGCAGAGATAAATGTCCCCCTGGGCCTGTTGATGACTCCTGACCTGGAGCTTGGGCTTTCCTAACCTGTTCCTTTTATTGTAGGAAAAAAACAACAAAAAAGCCACCCCCCTAAAAAAACACCAACTAGAGTAGAAAAGGAGGGGTAATAGAAGAGCCCACCCACCCACTTCTCACCCTCCTTTAGGAAGCCAGAATTGATTGACCAGGGAAGCTGCTGGAACCAGCATCAACCAAACCCGTCAAGGTTGGACCCAAGGCCCCTCAGTCCATAGTCCAGATGGTGCCCTCTCCCGAGGCTCATGGCCCTTCCTTCCCTGGCCTGGCTGGGTTCTCCTCTTGTAGTGTTGGGGAGCTGAGGTGAGGGGGCACAATGAAGTGTTCTGGGTGGAGACAGCTCCTCATTGTACTTCTTCCCCACAGGTAAGACCTAACCCTTGCCTATGAAGCTCCTTACCTGCTTGCCTCTAGGAATCTCAAGTGGAATCTTTAGGTCAGCAGCTGTAATCTCTGGATTGATGTATGTGTCCTTGTAGGGACATGGGTACCTAGACAGAGAATAGACACACTTATGCTGGGAAAGGAACACATACACTCCTCCCCCAAGCCATCAGTAAGTTCCCCCTCCCTCAGATGAGGGCCCAGGTCCAGGACTTACCCCAAGAGTGCAAAAGGTGACCTGGGTGCCTTCCTGGCTTGGTGGCTTGCCTGTGTGGGCACCAGCTCCTGTGTAGCCTGGTAGAGGAGAGGAGGGGTGGGCAGCCCAGGCTGAACAACCAGTCAGATGGCCTCACTTGCAGATCAGCCCAGCTGTTGTCTCTGCTTTGGCCCCTCCCAGACGTGGGAAGAGGACCAGGCTGTACCAGGTCTACATGCAAACACTTCCCCACCTAGCATCTCTCCTCCCAGGAACTGGACCTTAACCCACACAAGTGAACTCTGTTCAGCCTCTCAGCTCAGCCGAGGACACAGGAGGCTTTGTGCATTGCTATCCCTGTGGGGCCAGGTTGGGACCACAGAAGCCTAGTCTCTGAGTCTAGCTTCTGACCTGGCTCTGCCTCTGGCTCCAGCTCTCTGGCTCCAGCTCCCTGGGGGTGTGTATGTGGAGGGGTGTGCAGGTCAGACAGGCTCCAGGCCGATTTCAAGGTTGATAGAGAAAAACCTGTTGGGGCACATACCAGCAGGGCACCCCAGCTTGCACCCTACAGGGGGTCCCAGCCCAGAAACTACTGTGATTACTGCCTTATTAAAGCCAGCTGGCCTGGGTGGGGAAGCACTGTTTGTTTCAATGAAGAAGGAAGCGCACAGGTAATCAGGAGTGGGAGCAGAGTCAAGAAAGAAAAATGCAAAAGGGTGTTCCCTGCAGAAGGGCACTGTGGAGGTGTCATGCTCCCAAAGGCAGGTGAAGGAGGCTCCCAGGGCCCCAGTTTCTCAGACTCCTTCTGTTGCCTTTTGGCTGCTGGGATTCCCTGGCTGTTTTAGCTGCAGGTGATTCAATCCCAGCAGCTGGGCTAGAGGCTGTCCCTGCACAGAGCAGCAGGTGAACAGTCCCTCAGAGCCTCAGGGGCCCTAAGCAGTTCCTTAAACCTCACTGTCTGGCTGTCCAGACCCCAGTGGTCCTCCTTGATTTCCCAGGATCCCTGAAGAAGGGACCTTCCACTGCCATCCCACCACAAGGATAAGCCTAGGGAAGCACTGGCAAGAAAGGTTTCCATGGTGGTGAGGTGGTGGGCACAGTCTGGCAGTTGTTTTTTTTTTTCTTTTGTTTGTTTTTGTCTTTTAAAGTGGAAAACCTGCACCGGTTTTAAAATTATAGGATGTGGGGTCAATCACCACTTAAAATTTATTTATTTATTCATTTATAATTTATATTTATTTATTTATTTAGCACATTGGGAGGAGTGCATGTATGGAGGTCAGAGGACAACTTATGGGAGCTGATTCTCTCCTTTCACCATGTGTGTTCCAGGGATTGAACTGAGGAGGTCAGACTTGGTGGCAAGCGCCTTTACCTGCTGAGCCATTTTGCTGGTCCCATCCCCCCTTTTTTTGAAGCAGGATCATCACCAGGCTGACCTTGAGCTCACAATCCTCCTGCCTCAGCTTCACAAATATTGAGATTTACATGTGTAAGCCATCATGATCGGTTCTGCCATTTCCTATGTCTGTCATCTAGGTAGTCATGTCAGGTCTGTAAATGGAAATAGTGGGAGAGAGTGGACGGTGGGGTGGGGAGAAGACAGGTTGGGGCATTCTGAGGATAGGTTTCCTGGGAGGGATAAATGAGGGAATATGTGGATGGCATGTGGCAAAGTGCCTTGTGAATTAGTGGTGTTAGATTATGTAAATAAAAATATACAACACCTAGTTAAATTAGAATTTCAGATAATGAATAATTTTGTTGGTATAAGTAATGATCCAAATATTTAATCTAATTACTTATGTTAGCAAATTGTTTACCTGAAATTATAATCTAATTGGATGCCCCATGTTTTACTTGACAATCTCCAAAATAAGACTCAATTTCTGCACTGTGGTTAATAGCAAAAGTTCTAGAGCCAGACTTCTCAGAGTCAGAATTCAATTCTGGTCTTCTCTATGATGTTAGGCAGGTACCTTAACCTTCCTATGCAAGGTTAAACTTCCTTAAACTTCCTTCTCAGGTTCCTCATCCTCAGAACAGAGGCTGGGCTGGGGATATAGCTGAGTGGCAGAATGCTTGCTTAGCGTATCCAAGGCCCTGGGTTCAAGCCCCCATACTGAATAAACAAAAACAAAATAAACATAAAACCTCTCTCTCTCTCTCTCTCTCACACACACACACACACACACACACACGAACAAAAAAGCACTAATGATAATGTTTATGTTATAGATTGTTGTGAGAAACAATTAGAAGTGGGGCTGGGAATGCAGCTCAATGGTAGAGCATGGATGAGGCTCAAGGTTCTAGCCCTAGCAGACCACCTGAAAATACATTAGAAAAGTGCCCACTAAAAAATAGTAAGGACACATGTCACAATGTTAGTATATAACAATAAATATTGTTACAATATTATTTTATAATGGTAGCTGTTATGTCTTCCTGAAAAGTCCAATTTGGGCTGTCAGCTTCCTCCTTGCAATTTCCCAACATAGCCACAAGAGGGCACAATCAAGAACTGAGAAGTATTGTTAACACAGCCCCTTGTGGCCACTTGGAAGTCCCGGACCCTGAGCTACAAAGGGGTTCTCATAGTTCATCCTTCCTTCCCAAGGGCGGCCTCCTCAGGACATCAGGTTCCTGGGTGAACTTGGTAGGCATCTTACTTAGGTCGGAAGAGCCTCAGGTAGGTATTTACTCACCGCCAGCAGACAAGGCAGATCTCTGAGCACATGCAAGGACCTGGGGGACACTTCAGTGATGCTGGGGGACAGCAGGGCAGCATGAGGTCCACATTACCTCAGTTTCTGATTTTTCTGTTTTGTTTTGTTTTGTTGTTTTATTGAGACAGGGTCTCTTGGTAGCCCTGGCTGGCCTGGAACTCGCTATGTGGACCAGGTTGGCCTGGATTTCACAGAGATCTGCCTGCCTCTGCCTCCGAGTACTGGGACTAGACCTGTGCCACCATGCCTGGGAGCCTCTGATTCCTGAGAACCTCTTCTGGCTACATATACCAAGCAGGCTTATGGAGAAAGGAAGGGAGGGCGAGGGCACCTGTTAGCCCAGACTCCTGGCAAACCTGCAGGTTGAACTCTGAATTTGGAGAAGGCACACAGAAGCCCAGTCACATGGCAGAAACAAAGTCCTCCTGCCCTTGAGTCTGAGGAGTGTGTGTGGTGCATTTGCAGTGGTTCTGCTGAAACTTGGATGGAATTTCAACACTTTTATTCTTGGATTAAAAAAAAAAAATATCCTTTAGTCCCAGCACTCGGGAGGCAGAGGCAGGCAGATCTCTGTGAGTTCAAGGCCAGCGTGGTCTACATAGTGAGTTCAGGTCAGCTGGGGCTGCAGGGAGACCCTGTCTCAAAAAGACCAAAAAAAAAATTTAAATTAATGTGTATGTATGCATTGCCTGCATGTATGTAAGTCCACCCGTATCGTGCAGTGCCTACAAGAACAGAAGAGGCCCTTGGAGCCCCTGGAACTGGAGTTATGGACAGTTGCTAACTGCCATGTGGGTGCTGATTCGAACTCAGGTCTTCTGCAAGAAAAACTAATGTTCATAACTGCTAAGCCATCTCTCCAGCCCTGGCTCTTTTTTTTTTTTTTTTTTTTTTTTAACAGCAGGAACAGACTGATACTGTTTTCAGATTCACTAATCACCTCAAACCCTGTGGTCTAAATTTTAGGATTGTAGTGTTGGAGGACATCTCAGAGAAGGTCTGCTCTGAAAAGGTATGCTCTGCACCCCTCATTACTGGAGGGTGGTGACCTCCCACTGCAATGGAGCTGGAACCAGAATCCAGGTGTACAAATACCTCTGATTTTTTTTTTCAATCTCTTTTTTTTTTTGGTCTTTTTGAGACAGGGTCTCCCTGTAGCCCCAGCTGGCCTGGATTCGCTATGGAGACCAGGCTGGCCTTGAACTCACAGAGATCCGCCTGCCTCTGCCTCCCAAGTGCTGGGATTAAAGGCGTATGCTACCACGCCTGGCCTTTTTTTAAAATCTCTTAATGAGGGAGGGTGTGGATGACAGGGTGTGGGGTCCCTTAGTGGAATACTTGGGCATAGCAGTAACATCCAGCACCTCCACCACTACCACATGAGGCCCCATGTTGCTTTACTTTCTCTATGTAGGACTGAATTTTTAGTTTATTTGTTTATTATTTATTTTTATTTTATGTGTATGTGTGTTGCCTGCATGCATGTAAGTGCGCCCATGTGTGCAATGGTCACAGAGGCCAGAAGCGGTAGATGGATCCCCTGGAACTGGAGTCATGGATGGTTGTTAGCAGCCATGTGGGGGCTGGGAACTGAACCCGGGGCCTCTGTAAAAGCAGTCAGTGTTTTTAACTTCTCAACCATCTCTCCAGCCTCTAGGACAGACTTCTTTTGTTTTTTTGAGACAGGGTCTATGTAGCCCCAGTTGGCCTGGAACTTGCTATGTAGAACAGGCTGGCCTTGAACTCACAGAGATCCACCTGCCTCTGCCTCCCAAGTGCTGGGATTAAAGGCATGTACCATCACTATCATCTATCTATCTATCTATCTATCTATCTATCTATCTATCTATCTATCATCTATCTATCATCATCATCTATCTAATCTATCATCTATGATCTATCTATATTTTGTGCATATGTCTATGTGTGTGGAAATGCATATGCCGCAGTACATGTGTGCAAGTCAGACAACTCCTTGTGGGAGTCATTGTCTCCTTCCATCATGTGAATACTGGGGATGGAACTCAGGTTATCAGGCTTGGTGGCAGGTGCCTTTACCCACTGAGCCATATCATCCTCCACCCCCCCATTTTGCTTTACTATCAACTCTTTGCATTGCATGATCTCAGAATATACAGAAACCTATTTATTTCACCTTTTGTTAGGACTTTTTCTGCTCAGAACTGTCACCAAGTCTATTTAGGTGCTAGAGTTGTTGTTCTATTCTTACCAAACAGCTTCTGTGTTGTATGGGCCAGCTAGATTTGGAACTATCTACCTTTTGCAGTTGGGCTCCATGTGTCTGTCTTCCCAGGAGTCTGTTCAGATACCTAAACTCTGGTCCTAT